AAAAACCCCCCCTTAAAACACCACCACCCCCCCCTTCCCCCCCCCCCCCCCCCCCCCTCTCACCCTTCACCTATTACTGCCAGAAATATATTGTTTAAAAAAAAATAAAATTAACAATCAATCAAATAAAAATCCACATTTCTGCCTCTAAATATAAAATATACAGAATAAAAAACCATAAACCGTTTCTCTCATTTAAATATTGATTTTCAAGTTGTGATTCGAACATCAATAAAGTTCCATTTGGATATATACATGTTTTATATTTTGATACATTTTATAAATTAGAATAGATAACAGAAGTTGGTTCATTATTAAACATGATGTTCAGTGACTAACAGAATTGATCATTCATTGATTTCTGATGAGTTGATTTTCTGTCGAATGAAACTCGTGTTTTATATTCGGTACATTATTGTGAAATGTTCAGAGGAAATGTTCCTGATGTCACGTGTCACCTCACTGTGTGTACTCGTACTGGCGTGTCCTTGTACCGTGTGTACTTGTACTACTGGTGTTGTAACATGATGCTGACGTGATGAAGACGACCACACAGGAACATCCTCCTTTAGAGACATAAATACACCGACAGCAGTTTATCAACTCTTTATGAATGAAGTCTTCAAGGCTGACTGGTGAGTTCTGGATATTAGAATAAGTCACTTTTATTAATGTAGATTTTATATATAAATATATATATGTATATATACATATGTGTGTTTGTTAATTTTGTATTCAATAGGCAACTCTTTCATGTGCGAGATGCCAAAGTTTCACAGTTTACTTATTTTAAAACGTGTGTTTTTTTACAGCGTTAGTTTGGTGGATGTAGTTAAATTGTATTTTATTTCATGTTTTCCTCATTTTTTTCTATTACAAATATATTTAATTTGTAAGTCTATTTGCTGTAATAGTTTATTTTACGATGTTTGGAGTTGTCAGTATTTTTTTAATTTAGTAAATTACTTTTATTAAGTATTTTTAAAGCTGCATATAAGATATTTCATTATTATAAACCGTTTTGTTGAGATGTATCTCTTTTATTTTGTGGAAGTTTTAAAAGATATTAAACTCGTTTCGCTCCACGTTTTGAACAAAATGCATTATGATGTCAAACTGAACACAAAGTGACTGCGTGTGTGTGTGTGTGTGTGTGTGTGTGTGTGTGTGTGTGTGTGTGTGT